CTGTGGATATTAGATGAAGACTAGCCCTGGCATTGAAAGACCTGGCATAGCTGCGTGACAGCATCCTAGTAACAACATAACTACGCATGCTGATTGTCCGAGCGGTTAATACTAAAAGACAGTACGGACCATGGAGACCCTACCCACAACATTTGTACTACATTTTATTAATTATGAATGCTTTGTTTAATTCCATAGTGTTTTATTGAAGTCCCTGAGCAACATCCCATTCAGCTAGCTACTACCATAACTTTCCGCGATCACATTCTACCTCCCGATGTGTTCCTTGAACAAATTACACCACTACACCATGAAAAACAGCTGCTATGATCTCGACAGGTTGCGATACCCAAAACCAATCAGGAACGGTCCTAACTTGACTGTCGAAATACTTTGAAAGGGGTAAAAAGGAGACTGTTAAGTAGGACATGTATGTAAACCATTTGTCATGTAAGAAGATTATGTGAAAAAAGAAGCTGCCTGTGTTAAAACACCAAAATTTCAAGCGGATTCTTCCACTGCACTGGTGCCTCCTGTTTCATTTTGAAATTACGTCGCCTACTGTTTTATAGTCCTCGTTGTTCATGTTTTCTCTGTAATTTAAACCGCATGAAAAATGCTTAGCTGTTGTTCTTTTTAACGTACATTGTCTTGATAATATCGCTCGTGCGCTCCCGCAACATCGCTTCATCATCGGAGATTTGCTACAGTGCGTCTTTTCGTGGCTGTTTGAATTACTGTTAACTTTTTCTTCTCAGCAAACGTAATATTTTTATTTCATTTCAGTACAGTTCAGGATCAAGCGGCATGTGGGAGCATCCTAGTAACAGCATTAACAGGTGAATTCTGCATTAATTGCCCCGACCGATCTTGATATTCTTGGTATTTTTTACAGCAACAACGATTTTTTAAAACCCAAATTCTCAGTTTTCCCGCTGTTTTGGTGACAAAATTAATAAATAGCAACGCGCACCAGACTAGCCGGTGCGGTCATGCGTTTTGTGCAATTCAGCCCATCGA